GCTCAAGAATAAAAAAGAATGAACTATTGAGACAATAATTATGTTAAGTGAAGAAAACTAGACAGAGTAGGTTTTTGTTTTTGTTTTTTTCAGTAGTGGTGATAGAACCCAGGGCCTCACACATGTTAGGCAAGCACTTTACCTCTAATCTACACTCCTAGTCTCGAAAAGAGTAGATATTGTATGATTCTATTTATATAAAATTCAAGAAAATGAAAATCAATGGATACTGATTGCCCAAGACAGACAGGAGTGGGGCGGGCTGGGGAGGGGATGATGTGTTCACCATCTTGATTGTGGTGATGACGTCACAGATACATGTTTGTCAAACATCACATCGAACATCCATTAGACTTTAAGAAAGCAGCTTTTTAACGTGTAAGAACAAACTGATAGATTTTGCATTTAGTCTTGAGCAAACTTCTAATGTCTAAGAGTTTATTCACTATATCATCAAGATTCTTTCAGATATTTACAAAGAAATGGTGTGCATAAACACAATATGTTAGCCTATGGCTGGAGGCACAGCTCAGTGAACATACATGTTTATTATGTGAAGGACCCTGGATTCAATCCCCAGCACCACTGTGGTGTACATATATTCTCACTACAGAGGAGCATGAAGAAGACCAGGGTGAAGACAGATGTTTATACCTTTGAAGGAAACAGGAAGCAAGGGGACAGGTGTGATTATTTATAGGTAGTATGATTGACTAACTAGAAAAAACCCAAAAGAGTCATCAGAAAGACTACTCGAACTGTAAGATAATGCAATATAGTATGCTTAGCCTTCTTATACTCCACTTAGAAAACACAGGTAGTTGGGGGATGTCGTTTATGACAGCAGAAGTATCTGTCTGCAAAATATTCAAGAGTAAGCCTGTCAAAAATTTGTAAAACCTGTTTGAAGAAAACAAACTGTACATACAAGAGGTTTTAAATGAAAAGATATTTTATATACGATTAGGAAGACCCTGTGCTGCACACATTAAAATAGAAGTTCCTTGAGACCCTTAGTAAATACATACTATAATCCTTTCTGCTTCTGGAAAGCAATTTGGAGTTTTTAAAATGAGGTGAGTTGTATCAACACCTCTTAGAAAATATTAGTTACTGGTTGGGCATGGTGGTGTATGCCTATAATCCCAGGGGAGTGGATAAGGAGTTCAAGGCCAACCTGAGCTATGTAGTGAGACCCTTTTGGGGAAGTAAGGGAGGGTGGAGGGAGGGAGAGAGGAAGGGAATAATAGTTACCTGGAGGATTTTTTCTTCAAAGCATCTTTATTTGGAAACTGTGCTGGCTTGTTCTTGAGCCTTAGTGTCCTTGAGTGAAACAAGTCACCCTCTGTCTCTATTCCCGTTGAAATTGAGAACAGGATGGCAGGAATAACTGGCACCCAGAGTTTCTGCCCCAGGAGCATTGGAGGGGCTTAGAACTCCTTCTGCCTTTGAGGTCATTTCTTAAAGTGCAAAAATAAATAAAAAGTAAATGAAAAATTAAAATGACTAAAAATCCAGCTGCACATGGGAATAAGTCACAATCAATAGGAAAAGACACTTCTAATGTGGAATAGAATCATACATCTCAGCATTTACTTCCAAGATTCTAATTAAGGTTTTTGATGTATATGTGTCATGAGCTTACAATTAGATCTATCAAGAATTTAAAGATAACGTCACTAAAAATAGACTTTAAAAACTTTTCCTTTCTTATGCTGCTCGTATGCCTCCTTCCTTCGCACATTCTTTTTTTTTTATTATTTTATTATTCATATGTGCATACAAGACTTGGGTCATTTCTCCCCCTCGCCCCCACCCCCTCCCTTACCACCCACTCCGCCCCCTCCCTCTCCCCCCCCACCCCCTCAATACCCAGCAGAAACTATTTTGCCGTTATCTCTAATTTTGTTGTAGAGAGAGTATAAGCAATAATAGGAAGGAACAAGGGTTTTTGCTGGTTGAGATAAGGTAGCTTACAGGGATTGACTCACATTAATTTTCCTGTGCGTGTGTTACCTTCTAGGTTAATTCTTTTTGATCTAACCTTTTCTCTAGTTCCTGGTCCCCTTTTCCTATTGGCCTCAGTTGCTTTAAGGTATCTGCTTTAGTTTCTCTGCGTTAAGGGCAACAAATGCTAGCTAGTTTTTTAGGTGTCTTACCTATCCTCACCCCTCCCTTGTGAGCTCTCACTTTTATCATGTGCTCAAAGTCCAATCCCCTTGTTGTGTTTGCCTTGATCTAATGTCCACATATGAGGGAGAACATACGATTTTTGGTTTTTGGGCCAGGCTAACCTCACTCAGAATGATGTTCTCCAATTCCATCATTTCCAGCGAATGATAACATTTCGTTCTTCTTCATGGCTGCATAAAATTCCATTGTGTATAGATACCACATTTTCTTAATCCATTCGTCAGTGGCTGGGGCATCTTGGCTGTTTCCATAACTTGGCTATTGTGAATAGTGCCGCAATAAACATGGTGTGCAGGTGCCTCTGGAGTAACTGTGTATTTTGGGTATATCCCCAAGAGTGGTATTGCTGGATCAAATGGTAGATCGATGTCCAGCTTTTTAAGTAGCCTCCAAATTTTTTTCCAGAGTGGTTGTACTAGTTACATTCCCACCAACAGTGTAAGAGGGTTCCTTTTTTCCCCATCCTCGCCAACACCTGTTGTTGGTGGTGTTGCTGATGATGGCTATTCTAACAGGGGTGAGGTGGAATCTTAGTGTGGTTTTAATTTGCATTTCCTTTATGCTAGAGATGGTGAGCATTTTTTCATGTGTTTTTTGGCCATTTGAATTTCTTCTTTTGAGAAAGTTCTGTTTAGTTCACTTGCCCATTTCTTTATTGGTTCATTAGTTTTGGGAGAATTTAGTTTTTTAAGTTCCCTATATTCTGGTTATCAGTCCTTTGATTGTATAGTTGGCAAAATATTTTCTCCCACTCTGTGGGTGTTCTCTTCAGTTTAGAGACCATTTCTTTTGATGAACAGAAGCTTTTTAGTTTATGAGTCCCATTTATCTATGCTATCTCTTAGTTGCTGTGCTGCTGGGGTTTCATTGAGAAAGTTCTTATATACCTACTAACTCCAGAGTATTTCCTACTCTTTCCTGTATCAACTTTAAGAGTTTGGGTCTGATATTAAGATCCTTGATCCATTTTGAGTTAATTTGGTATAGGGTGATATACATGGATCTAGTTTCAGTTTTTTTGCAGACTGCTAACCAGTTTTCCCAGTTTTTTGTTGAAGAGGCTGCTATTCTCCATCGTATATTTTTAGCTCCTTTGTCAAAGATAAGTTGCTTATAGTTGTGTGGCTTCATATCTGGATCCTCTATTCTGTTCCACTGGTCTTCATGTCTGTTTTTGTGCCAGTACCATGCTGTTTTTATTGTTATTGCTTTGTAATATAGTTTGAAGTCAGGTATTGTGATACCTCCTGCATTGTTCTTTTGACTGAGTATTGCCTTGGCTATTCTTGGCCTCTTGTGTTTCCATATAAATTTCACAGTAGATTTTTCAATCTCTTTAATGAATGTCATTGGAATTTTGATGGGAATTGCATTAAACATGTAGATTACTTTGGGAGTATAGACATTTTTTACTATGTTGATTCTACCAATCCATGAGCATGGGAGATCTCTCCACTTTCTATAGTCTTCCTCAATCTCTTTCTTCAGAAGTGTATAGTTTTCCTTGTAGAGGTCGTTCACATCTTTTGTTAGGTTTACACCTAGGTATTTGATTTTTTTTGAGGCTATTGTAAATGGAATTGTTTTCATACATTCTTTTTCCGTTTGCTCATTGTTAGTGTATAGAAATGCTAATGATTTTTCTATGTTGATTTTATATCCTGCTACCTTGCTATAGCTATTGATGATGTCTAGAAGCTTCTGAGTAGAGTTTTTTGGGTCTTTAAGGTATAGGATCATGTCGTCTGCAAATAGGGATATTTTGACAGTTTCTTTACTTATTTGTATTCCTTTTATTCCTTCTTCTTGCCTAATTGCTCTGGCTAGGAATTCCAGTACTATGTTGAATAGGAGTGGAGTAGTGGGCATCCTTGTCTGTTCCTGATTTTAGAGGAATGGTTTTAGTTTTTCTCCGTTAAGTATAATGCTGGCTGTAGGTTTGTCATATATAGCTTTTATAATGTTGAGGTACTTTCCTTCTATTCCTAGTTTTCTTAGAGCTTTTATCATGAAATGGTGTTGGATCTTATCAAAGGCTTTTTCTGCATCTATTGAGATGATCAAGTGGTTTTTGCACATTCTTGTAGTCCTCACCAAAAGGACGGAGGCTGAAGGATGTCGATCTTGTGTGTCTGGTGGGAGGGGACCGTCCCTTCCGTGGCAGGGCAGGTCTGGGCAGCCTACAGTCCGGCTCAGCACCCCTCTCCTGGGAAGGACCGAGCAGTGACTGAGAACCTGGCAGTGTTCTGAGTGCCTTGCATACAGGGAGCTGGGTCCCTACTTCAAGGCCACCAGCTCGGAAGGCCGGGGCTCAGGGCTGCTCCTCTTCTGACATTTCCGCGCCTCTTCTCTCTGTGCTCTGGCCTCCTGGCAGCCCTCTCTAAGCGGCCACCTACAACTGCTCCCCTTCGGGTCTGGAGGGAAACACCGCTACTGTAGGAACTTACTAGTGTCTTCAGTGTGTGTATTTGTCTGTCTCCTTTACTAAACTGTGAGCCCCTAAGAGTGACTGATCGCTATTTTATTCCTGGAATTTGTCACTATGTATGGCAGGTGCTAGCCATCAAGGTAAATGTTCGCCAAATTAATGGGTTGCAGGAGTCTAAGCACTAAATGTTGCCAAAGTTAGCAACAGTGGCCTGTATAACCCCCAAAAAAGTTTTTCCCCCCCACCCCAGCAGAGGGGGCCATCAAACAAGCGAAGGCCTGGCTTATCTGGTGCGCGTAAAGCCTACCAGCCACCTCATACCCGTGTTGCGTTTGCTGCAGCAGCCCCATGGATCCCCGGCCGACGCATGGAACGTGAGAGATGCGGAAGGGGCCTGCGCCTGCGCAGGAGACGCCCGGGCGCGCGCCCGGCCAGCCCGGAGTCGGAAGCCGGGGCTCCAACGCCTGCTGCTTCTGCTGGTGCTGCTGCTGCAGCTGTTCCTGGTAAGGGGGCAGGGAGCTCTCATGTGCTACTGCACGTGGGACTCGGTCCCGTGGAATAGGGCCAGATCGTGGATTAGGTGTCAGTGCAGGTTTTTCTAATATAGCCAAAACTGAATATGTCGCTTAGCCCTATGGTAGCAAGGATATCAAAAACTAATCTTCCTCTTAACCCACCTAACACTAATACGGCTACCCAGTCATAGTTCTCAGGGGACCTCCATATTCAGAATACTTGGACCACGTAGTGCTCGGCAATCAGGTTCAACCAATGAACTCACCACACGCGATAGTCAGTTTTGATTGGCTACCCCACTGGGCAGAGAACACCTAACTAGCATGGTTCGAAAGCACCCCACTGTCGTGTAAAGGCTTTGTGAAGGAGTTAGGATTTAAGATGAGTCTTAAAGGTGCAAATTATGAAGTCTGGATTTTTATTTTCTGTTGCCTTTATCCTTTTTTTTTTTTTTAAAGAGAAATGTTAAAATATGTGCTTCAAATGGAGAGAGAAATCTAAAACTATATTCTAGCTTACTGGATAGAGGAAGGCACATAGAAATTGCTTGAGAGAGTGAGAGAGAGAGAGAGAGAGAGGAGAGAGGAGAGAGGAGAGAGGTGAGAGAGCACGAGCGAGCAGAGGTAATCAACTGAGAACACACCTGTTTCTCCAGGGCCCTACTAGGGGAAGTCAGCACCAAATGATGGAAAGACTATGTTAAGCCTCCTTCTCCCTTCTTTCATTCTGCCAGTAGATATCAGTGAGCCCTTGAGAGATGTACAAGGGTGCGAGGATGTCACATTGTTGGTGAAACTCCAGCTGACACTTATCTTCTCCCTTCCTCTCTTGGGCAGGGCATAGGAGCTAAGGTCATGGCCTTAACAACATATTGTCCTGAGGATGTAAGTCTATCAGGTGGGGAGGTCATCCTACTAGTGATAGTAAAATAAGAATCTATTCCTAGACATCATCCACACCATACATATGTAGCACTTACTATGTGTGTATATAAAAGGCAATAGAACTCTGTGTTTAAAGCACTGAAGAAAAATTTCTGAGTAAAATTAGACAGTTTTAGATATACAAAGGTTGAGAGAATTTACTACCTACAGAACTTCCTGAAAGAACTAAGTAATTCAAGAAGAAAAAAATGGAATCCAGACAGAAGTCATGGAAAACAAGTGACAACAGTTGACACTAAAGGGATCAAAAGTAATATGAAGTGTGTAATTTTGTGTTAAAAAGCATAAACCCACCTGTAAACAAATAACCTCATGTCAATGATGACAAATTACTTAGACTTGCTTAGAAAAATTATAGGAAAATTTCTTTCAAAATTAGTGGCATTCCTTATTATGCAAAAATACCTGTAGTTTTCATACTATTGGAAGACAGTAAGTTATCTGGAGAATCTTACCAGCATATGACAAGGAAAGGAAATAATGGACTATAATTAATACCAGGATACTTAATACTCAGATGACTACCTCATGGCAGTTGTCTGAGACTTTCTCATTTTAGCACTGAAAAGTCTCATGTCCAAGAAATTCTGTGAGTCCCAGGCAAACCAGGAAGTTTAGTTACTTACCTGGTAGTCTAAATCGGTAAGGATGTACTTACATTCTTATATTTTATTATATATAAAAATCAATGTCCATCCTAAAAATGAAAAGCTGGGGCCTGGTGGCATGCATCTGTTATTCCAGCTACTTGAGAGGCTGAGACAGAAGGGTAGCTTGAGCCCAGGAGGTCAAGGCCAGCCTGGGAAACAGAGAGAGGGAGGCCCCAGCTGAAAGGCAAAATAAAATGAAACAAAATAAAACAACAAAAATCATCAATTCCAGATGGCTGAAAGGACAAGAAGAAAATACATAGTATCTTTATGATCTTGGTATTGGGAAGAGTTACTTTTTTTTTTAATATGGAATGCTTCACAAATTTGTGTGTCATCCTTGTACAAGTGCCATGCTAATCTTCTCTGTCTCATTCCAATTTTAGTGTGTGCTGCCAAAGCAAGCACAAGGGAAGAATTACTTTTTAAAAAGAAAAAAGCAAAATCTATAGAAGGAAAAGATTAATAAATTTGGCTAATTAAAATATAAAAATTTATGTAATGGAAGAAATAAAACATATGCCCACACAAACATTTGTACACGAATGTTCATAGCAGCATGATTCATAATAGCCAAACTGTGGAAACACTACAAATGCCTATCAACTGATGACTGGATAAACAAAATGCATATAGCTATACAATGGAATATTAATTGGCCATAAGTAAAAGCAGCCAGACACAAAAGAGCACGTATTTTATGATTTCATTTATATGAGAAGTCCAGAATATGTAAATCCACACAGACAAGAAATAAATTACTGGTTGCCTAGGAATAGGGGATACAAGAGTGACTCCTAATGTGTAGTTTGTTCCTTGTGTACTGTAAAATTAGGGCAATGGTTGTGCAGTTTTGTTAATATACTAAAAATGTGGGATTCTACTGGTGAGTCATGTGATGTTTGAATTTTATCTTAACAGAGCTGTGTTCACAGGGTATGTAACAAAAAAATAAAAATCCGAAAAAATAAAACGCAAAGATAGAAACATTATACAAAAGAAAAAATGTATGTTATGCACTTCAAAAATCCATAATCCAGAATATTGTGAGCTCTTAGAGGAGATAAAATAAGAACAAAGAAAGCAGCAAAGATGAATAGAAAAGATAATTTACTTGTGCTTCTACTATGAAGAATCAGATAAATGAAAGTTAAATATGCACCCCTCTAAATATGTACCTAGAAAGCTGCTGAGTAAGGTAGGGAGTACCAGTCGATAAGAACGAGTGAGTGGCCCAGTAATTGGGGGGAGTTGAGCGTGTAAAGTATGATATACACAGTCTGCAAACTAACCAAAAGGTGAAACGCGCCTTGAGCAATTCAAGGTATAGTATAAATAAAAATTAAATTTCTATAATGAAGAGACAATGAACGGTAAAAAAGCCCTGATCCAAGCGTGCGCTCTCACGCTGGGCAGGGGTAAATGGAGAGGGCCTATGTACTGTGTATACATGTATGAAAATAGAACAATGAAATCTGTTGAAATTGTTGTAACAAGGGAGGAGGAGGGATGAGAAAGAAGGATGGAGGAGACGAATCCAGTTAAGATACATTGTAAGCACATATGTAAATGTCATAATGAAACTTCCCTGTACAACTGATATATGCTAATTCAAAAAAGAAAAGTGCAAAAGGAGATGTGCCTGAGAGTGTTCACTACAGCATTAATCTGAACGAGAAAAATGAAAGATGGCTGTATGGTTCATGAACAGGAGAGTGGATGAATAAATACATCGTGGTGTATTTCTACCATGTAATATCATTCCTCATTAAAAAGCAATAGATGTTACATAATACTTATGCAAAGTTTAAAAATGTTTATGAATATTTATAGCATAACTATGAATGGGAATGATTGACAAATTAAGGTTGATAGTTATCTTTAGGGCAGAAAGAAGGGGAAGCAGCAAACTTCAACTGATTTGAGAAGAAAATTTTCTTTCAAAATTAATGGCATTCATAATTAGTCCAAAAATATAACACGTAGCTTTCACAACAATGGAAGACATTTTAATTTCCTGGATTCTTTTTCTCAGCATACTTTTGAGATTTATCTTTGTTGGGATAGTAGAAGGAATTTTCTAGAAAAGTCTTTCTCAAATTCCACTCTATGTCTTTCTGGTATTGTTATAAAGGAAAGCATATGAAGTCTTACTCTCTTAAAAAGCTTTTTTACTTCTAGAAGTAGGAGAATTTTTTTTTCTCCTTTAAATTCAAAATATGTCTAACCAGGGGTCTTCTTTACTGAACATTTCTAAACATGGTGAGCAAACCACCTTCTCTTCTATGGACATTTTCTGCAGTAACAATCACAATTTCCCCAATAAATAAAACTTGACCAAAAATACACTCTTCTGTTTTTTTCTAAAACACACTGTCTCCTTTAAAAATATTTCTATTTTAATATAATGAGAAAAAGTGCCAAAGTTTAAGTGAATTCTGCATTATTTACTTCACAGTATAGCTTCCAGTTCTCTTTGGAATTTGATGTCAGGTTCATAATTCCTTTTTCTTTCTGCTTTTTCACACCCACTGTGCAATAATGTGTTTTGCTTATAAAAGAAGCCTAGGAAGTCAGGCAGTGTTAATGCTCATGCAGAGAGGATACCAGCCGGATGCCTCTCAAGTTTTTGTTTTGTTTCATTTTTAAGACACCATTATTTATTGAAACTTTTTAGCCTTGACATCATAAAAGAAACAAGTCAAAACATTCCTGCATTTTTAATGATTTTGCCTCACACACGCATACACTTACTGGAAACTCATAAAGCAATTCTGCTGAAAATAGGCCGAGAGACTTTTATAAAATGGAGTAGGGTATTAAAGAAAGACTTAATAAAAGGAATAGAAACATTAATACAGTAGCAATAACAAGACAAAGAAAACTGAAACCATCAATGATAGCTCAGCAGTAAAGTACATGCCTCATGAGCTTGAGGCCCTAGGTTTGATATCCCTAGCACCAACAAAAAGAAATGTGTGTGTGTGTGTGTGTGTGTGTGTGTGTGTGTGTTGAAATTGTTGGGATGCTAGAAGCTAAAAGTCAATAATAAGGCAAGGATATCCACAACTACTACTACTATTTAACTGATATCAACTGATATTTTAGATATCAGCCAATGCAATTAGATAAGAGAAAACAATTAGAGGCCTGGGAGTTAGAAAAGAAGATGCAAAATTCTCCCTATTTGCAGATAATGAGAGAATACCTGGAAACCCCAAGAGAATTGTCACTAGAACTAATGCATACAAAATAATTCAGTAAAGAAGAATATAAAATTAAAATTAAAATAATAGTCTTTAGAATTTGTATCTAAAGTATGTAAAGAAGATTTACATTTAAAAAATTATAGACAAGCCAGGTTTTAAATGGTAAAGGAATATAAACAGACATCTCTTTGAAGATGTACATGAAAAAATGCTCAACATCACTAGTCATTGGTAAAATGCAAATCAAAACCCAGTGAGATAACATTTCACACCTTCTTAGGAGGTATAAAAAAGACAACAATCACAACTGTTGCCAAGACTATGGAGAAATTAGATTCCTCAACTGTAATTAAGAGGAGAATAAAATGGTACAGCTGCTTTGGAAAACAGTCTTGGAGTTCCTCTAAACATTAAAAATAGAGTTGCCATGTGCTTTGGCAGTTCCATTCCTTGGTATCTGCCCAAGAGAAATGAAAATATCTGTTCATACAAGCTTGCATAGTAACATGATTCATGCAACCAAAAAGTAGAAACCACACAGACATCTACCCATTGGTGAATAGATAAACAATGTGGTATAGTTATACGATGTAATCTTATTCAACCAGAAAAAGGGATGTAGTACTGATATGTGGCTATGCACAACATGGATAAACTGTGAAAATACTGTGCCAATTGAAAGATGCGAGCCACAAAAGACCATTTATTGCATGATTCAGAATAAGCAAATCTATCGAGACAGGAAATAGACTGTTAGGTTTTTCTAAGCAGGGTTACTGGAGTAGAGACATAGAGGTAAAAAGGACTGAATGATAACAGGTATAAATTTCTTTTTGAGATTGTGAAAATGTTCTGGATAGTGGTGATAGTTACATAGCCTTAGAAGTATAATACTAAGTCAGTTAAATTTTATAGTACATAAATGATAGCTCAATGAAGCTATTAGAACTTAATAGCCTTCATATATACAAACAATTAGAAGGTGAAAGAGACGTAAAAATTCCACTTACAATAATAACAATATACTTGGAATAAATGTGCAGAGAAATTTACCTGAGCTATAAGGAAACTTAAATTCTCTTGAAAGATACAATAGTAGATATTTTGTTTTATCTAATATTTTGTATATGTGCCTATAAATGTACAAACCTCCACTTTTGACTGGAAATAAAGCATGAAGGATGGATACTTTTTTAAGGTGAAGAAAGTGAAAACCCAAAACATTCCTGACAGTCTTACTTTCTCACTATGTTCTAATCGAGTGGTTTTTACAAAAAGAACTGTTATTCCAAACCTAATTGGGCATAATAATTTCTAACTTTCTCTCAATTATTATAGAGCACAGTGTTATAAATCAATGTAATCTATTTTTCTTCCAGGAGCCAGTGGCTTATGCCTATAATCATAGCTTCTTGAGAGTCTGAGATCAGGAGAATCTTAGTTCAAGGCCAGCCTAGGCAAATAGTTCTAGAGACTCTGTCTCCAAAATAACCAGAGCAAAATGGACTGGAGGCATGGCTCAAATGGTAGCACAAAGCCCTGACTTTAAACCCTAGTCCCACTAAAATAAAAATAAAGAAAGAAATACAATTAATTTTCTAACACTGATGCCCAAAGGCACAGTGTTAAGGGTTTGCTTCCAAGGGTGGCTTTTTGGGAGGTGGTGGAGACTTTAAGAGATGAAACCTAGTGGGAGGTCCTTAGATGACTGAAGGTGTGCCCCTGAAGAAGGTAGTGGGACCCCAGCCCTTCCTTTTTTGCTCCCTGGCTTGTGATGAGAGTAATTTTGCTTTGCATGCACTTCCATGTGCCACCTACCTCACCTCAGGCTCAACACAAAGGAGCCAACCACTAGTGGACTGGAGTCTCTAAGACTTTGAGCCAAAGTAAACCTATTCTCTTAAGTTAATCATCTCAGGAATTTTGTTATGGTGCTGGAAAGGTGACTAATGCCTTATCATACTTTTGATTTTCTTAAGAAAAGCAATCAGGGTTACTTTTTTTTTTCAAGAAAAAGAACTTCTATATCAGGCATTATGTTGCATGCCTGTAATTCTACCACTCAGGAGATGGAGGCAGAATGTCATGAGTTCAAAGCCAGCCTGGGTGACACAGTGAGGTGAGACACTGTTTCAAAAAACAAAAATGAAAGGAAGGAAGGAAGGGAGAGAGGGAGGGAGGAAAGGGAAAGAGAAAGTTAAGAAAAAAAAAAAAGGAAGAAATTCTATTTGAGGCTCTGAAATTCTCTTTTAAATATTTATTTAAAAAAAAATCTTTCCTTGACACTGACTGACCTCAGTCAACACGTCTTGTTTCTTGCAGCCTCACTGTTAGAAACCAAGAAGACCAGAGACCCACAAGAGCTTCTCATGAACTCAGAACAGACTTTCCGATCTGTGAAGAAAGGTAAAAGCTTGAATTTTTTAGCTCATGAAACTAACAGAAATGTCTTTCCTTTTTTTTTTTAATTTTTGTATTGTGTTTTAACAGAACACACACAATTCCTCTAACTACAATTTAGTAATGTTCAACCTCACATCATATTCTCCCCCTGAAGAGCTCCTTTTAACCCACTGTGGAACAGGGAAGAAATCCATCCTATTAATCCAATCCCTTTGCTAATCACAAATAAAAGTTGGTGCTTCTTGACAAACCACAATGGTATAAATTTTTATGTATCATACTCTTAAAACTTAAACTCCACAATGAAACAACATATTTGGTCTTCAGGAAGGCTTAATAATTCCATTTTTAATTATAAATTTTTATTAAATGACTAAGGTATTTTTTAAAATCTTAAGTATTTTGAAGAACACACATAAATTATAATGTCAATTATAATAATACTGTTTTTTCTTTTTCCCTTTATTTATTATCAACTGATTTACTTTCCTTAACTATTCTTTTTTTCCATTTTTCATTGTGACAATTCTGAATAGCTTTACATTGTACATTGGTTAGGTCACCACCACCACTCTCCCTCATCCCCCTTCCTGCCTCACTTAAAACAATTGCAAAAGGTTTCATTATTTCATATATGTGTAAGAAGCCATCAACCATATTCCCTCACCTTCATCTCCACTCATCCTTCTTCCTCTCACAAACAATCCCACACACAATAACTATTTTACAGTCCTGTCTTTCAATTCCAATGTCAGTGTTCAAAGGGGTTTCTTGATGTATCCCTACTGTGAATATACTTAAACCCCTTCCATTACTCTCCCTTACTCCTTTCTTCCCACTCCCTATTATTCAACAGCTTTCAGTACATACCGTTATATCCTCTACCTGTGTAGATGTAAAGTATTTTGACATTGTTGACTATCGTACTCTTTTCCTTTCCTTCCTCCCCCAAGTTCCATAGAGTAGTTCCACTGTTACAAATCTGTTCTATATATGAATGTATATATGATCATGTTTGTTTTTATATATATGTTTATTTTTTGGATCTATCTTCCACATAGAAGAGAAAACATGTGGCTTTTGTCTTTCTGAACCTGGCTTACTTCACTACATGATGTCCTCTAATTCTAACCATTTACCTTCAAATGACATAATTTCATTCTTCCTTATGGCTTAATAAAACTCCATGTTGTATGCATACCATATTTTCTTAATCCATTCATCAGCTGTAGGGCATCTGAGTTGTTTCCATAGCTTGGCTATTGTGAACAATCTGCAGTAAACATCTATGTGCAGGTGTCTCTGTTGTATCCTGACTTACGTTCCTTTGAGTGTATGCCCAGAATTGGTATCACTGGATCATATGGCAGTTATATTTTTAGTTTTGTAAGGAATCTCCATACTATTTTCCATAGCGGTTATACTAATTCATATTCCCATCAACAGCACATAAGGGTTCCTGTTTCACTGCATCCTCACCAGCATTTGCTGTTATTTATGTTCCTGAAGATAGCCATTCTAACTGGGGTGAGATGAAATCTTAGTGTAGTTTTGATTTGCATATAGCCAGGGAAGCCGAGCACTGCTTCATGTATTTATTGGACATTTGTACTTCTTCCTTTGAATACTGCCTATTCATTTCATTTGCCCATTTATTCAGTAGGTTGTAGATTCTTTGAAAGGTTAGTTTTTTGAACTCCCTGTAGATTCTGGTTATTAGTCCCTTATCAGATGTATAGCTAGCAAATATTTCTCCCATTCTGTGAGCAGTCTCTTGAGTCTAGTGACTGTTTCTTTGGCTGTGCAGAAGCTTTTTAGTTTGATGCAGTCTCATTTGTCCATCCTTTCTCTTAATTGCTGAGCTATTGGAATTCTATTTAAGAAGTTATTGACTATGCCTATATGTTCTAGTGTATTTCCTGCTACTTTCTGTAGTTATTTTCAAAATTTCAGGCCTTATATTAAGGTCTTTGATCTACTTTGAGTTGATATTGGTGCACAAGGTGAAAGACATGGATCTAGTTTCAGTCTTCAACATGTGGATATCCAGTTTTTCCAGCACCATTTGTTGAAGAAGCTGTCTTTTTTCTCCACTATGTGTTTTGGGATCTTTTGTCTAAAAGCAGATGTCTGTAGCCGCATGGATTTATGTTTGGGTTTTCTACTCTGTGTTCCATTGGTATTCCTGTCTGTTTTTGTGCCAATACCATGCTTTTTTTTAACTTGTAATGGCTCTGTAGTATAGTTTGAAACCTTATGTTGTGATACCTCCAACATTGGACTTTTATTCAGAATTTCTTTGGCTTTTCGAGGTCTTTTGTGCTTCCATATGAACTTGAGTGTTGAATTTTCAATCTCTTTAATGAATGTCATTGGAATTTTGATAGGGATTGCATTGAACATGTAGATTGCTTTGGGTAATATGGCCATTTTCACAATATCGATTCTGTCAATCCATGAGCATGGGAGATCTTTTCATATTATCATCTTCTTTGATTTGTTTTTTTCAGTGATTTATAGTTTTCATTGAAAAGGTCTTTGATCTCTTTCATTAAATTTATTCCTAGATATTTTGTTTTTGAGGCTATTGTAAATGAGATTGTTTCCCTGATTTCTTTCTGAATCTGTCATTGTTGGTATATAGAGAAGCTACTTATTTTTGTAAATTAATTTTGTATACTGGCAATTTACCAAAAGTCATTATACCGATTCTTTTTGGTGGTGCTGAGGTTTGATCTTGAGGCCTCCAGCTAGTAGGCAAATGCTCTATCACTTGAGCCACACCACTGGCCATGTTTTGCTTCAGTTATTTTTTGGATAGGGCCATGCATTTTGCCTGGGGCTAGCCTCAGACTGCAGTCCTTCTACCCATGCCTCCCTCATAGCTAGGACATCAGGTGCACCACCACATCCAACTTGCTGACCAGCTTTTTGCCAGAGTTGGCCTCAAACCTCTCTCTTCCTGATCTCTACTCACTGAGTAGCTGGAGTTACAGGTATGAGCCTCTGTGCGCAGTACCTGTTCTTGATCTTATACCTTTATTATGGTAGATGTTAGACAAATATCCTAAAAGCATTGTTCAAATAGATTTTATTTTTGGTGGTATTGGGGTTTGAACTCAGGCCCTCATGCTTGGCTAGGCAGATACTCTATTACTTGAGTCACTCCGCCATTCCTTTTTGTGTAGGTTATTTTTGAGATGGGGGTCTGACTTGTGCTCAGGGCAGCCTGGACGGCAATCCTCCTATTTGTGCTTCCTGCATAGCTCAGATGACAAACGCAGCTATGAGTTGCATAGGGTTTCACTAATTAATTATTAATTTTTTTCCCTATGGGCTGGCCTCCAACCATGATCCTGCTGATCTCTGCCTCCTAAGTAGGTAAGGTTACAGGCATGAGCCACTATGCTTGACCAAGATTTTATCTTAAATTGCTTCCTTTTGAGGAACTAATAGTCTAAAAGTTACTTAACTACTTTTTCATTCTTTCTTTATCCTTGCCCAGATTTTACAAAATTCAAGAAGCATATTAAAACCTTCAACAGTATGAGCTGTCAAAAATGGCTGGTGACATAAGTCCCAAAGCCTTAGAAGAGTGATTTCTAGAATCAGCATGGCATCCTGTTGAGTGTCCTGCCTGTGTGACCTTGGGCAGCAGGAGACACATACTTCCTTGGTTTCCTTATGTGTGAAATGGGGATAATATGGCTTGCTGTAGCTAAGTCAGGAAACGGTTGCTGTGAATACCAAGTGAAACAAGTAAGACACTTAGAACAGCCTGGTGAGAGGGAAGCACTCACTGCATGTCGGCCTTCCTTTGTTCTCAGTCATGTTCAATTAATAAGGTATTAAGAGACTGTCTAATTCATATCTAATTCAATGCCTTTGCTTCCAGTCCTGCTTAGATACTAATGTTATGATTACTTATATTTGCCCCATATATCTTGCCTACCTACTTGTTTTTAACTTTTTGGTAAAAATAGCATTATGCTTGATTTTGCTTTTTTGGCACTTTTGGATTCTGCTTTCTGTGGGGTATTAGAATCCAAGTATATTAGGTCAGTTATTTTTATCATTACTAATATGCTTAATCTTCCATGCAACTCTATGGTTGGCTTCTTATAATGCCTGCTAATTATATCCTTTTTAAATTTTGCTTTATGGACTGTACTTTCTTTACTTTTAGGTTCTTTATTAGTATGGAACATATATTATTATCACTGTTTTTACAAAATTCCATTATTTATTAACTTTAACTTTATTTATCTATTTATTTATTTATTTTGTGGTGCTGGGGTTTGAACTCAGGACCTCACACTTGCTAAGCAAGTGCTTTACCACTTGTGCCACTCTGCCAGTTCTTAACTTTAATTTAAAAAAAATCATTCTTTAATGAGCATTCCTTCAGCTGACAGGAGAAAAAAGTTTCTTTGAATTCACATGTTTAAGGAACCTGATAGAGCATGCTTTAAGCTTCTTCGATCTAATTAGCCTTTTTATTGGTGGGTGGGAGGAGGTAGTGTTTGAACTGAGGACCTCATACTTGCTAGACAGGCACTCTCCCACTTGAGCCATACTGCCAACCCTAATTAGCCTTTGTAAAAACAATCCAGGATTGGTACGTAGATTACGTTATGATTTTGAAGTTATGTGTTTTCCTTAAAAAATAACTTTTCCATAGTTATGATAGGTACTTTTCTTTATGTAATACGTTTTCATGGGGAGAATTCATATGAGCATGATAAAAACAAAAGTCAAGCAAAATAAAAGTTTTACAGTAAAAAATCATTTTGTAGGGCTGGAGGTGTGGTTTAGGTGGTAGAGCACTTGCCTCGCAAGTTTCAAGCCATGAGTTCAAACCCCAGTACTGTGAAAAAACCAACAACAACAACAACAAAAATCAGTTTGTAGCTGGGCATCATGGTATATACCTGCAATCCCAGCACTTGGGAGGCTGAGGCAGGAGGAATGCAATTTTGAGACCAGTCTGGAATACATAGTAA